CCACCTGCGCCCCTGTCTCCTTCAGCCTGCCCCCCAGCGCCGGTTGAGCATCAAGCGCAGGCAGAGCTAAGAGCCCAGCACCTGATGGGGCTCATGGGCATGGCTGTGCCTTGTGTGACGTGAGACAGAACTAGGGCCAGGAGCTCTGTCAGTTGTGGGGCTCTCAGCCCCCACTGTGCATGACATGGAGCCGGGGCCCAGAGCCCTATCAGTAGTGGGGTCTCTTGGTCTTGGCTGTGCATGGCCCTTGTGGCTGGGAGCCTGCTTTTTGCCAGTTGAGGGAGAGCCCAGGATCAAGCTCCTCCTACACAACTGGATCTAATGTGCAATCCCACAATCATATCTCCTGCCATGCATGTATAGCATGGCAGGAGGCATGATTATGTGGATCACCCATTAGATCCAGTTGCACTTTTACCTGCATGTATACAGGAGGCCTCAGAGAGGAAAAAAAGTAAGAGGAAATAGTGGGTATAGAAAAGGAAAGGTGATGCAAGTAACTTTGGGGGTGGAGGAAGGGTCAAAGCCAAGGTTGGCAAATGTCACTATAGGGTTCGAGGAGATATGGATAGGGACCTTGTTCTTTGTCAGCAGGAAGAAGTGGGAAGTTTTGGTTGAAGGCAACAGGAGAAAGGAGAAATTTGAGGAACTGTAGAGGGATGAATGTAAACAGGAAAGAAATTAAACCAATGGTAGGAAAGATTGAAGCGGGGGAAGAGGATTGCTGTTAGGATGCAGGAATAGGGTCCTAGTGAGAGCTGTGGGTGAGTGGCAGATTGACAAGATTATCCCCCCCAGAATTTCAGAATTAACATGGACTATATGAGTCCTGTTGTGTAGAAAAGGTTCCCTAGTTACAGTCCTCAGTGGTTTGATAAGGAAGTCCTGCCTCTTTCATAGCATCTCTTTCCTTCAGTCTTTTAGGAAATGTAGGAACCATAGAAACAATATTTAGTGCATGGCATGAACCTGATCTAGGAAGGAATTGGAGTATTATGGTGAAGGTGACTGTGTTCTCTGAAGACCCTCACACCCTTAACTCAGTTGTTGCAGAAGGCCAGGTAGAGATGCACCTTACAGACTAACTGAATTAAAGATGTGCAAGCTTTAATAAGGCATGGCTCCTTTTATCCAATCCTATGAAAGGGCATTCAGAGAGGAGGCTACCAAGTAAAAGTAATGATTTGAAGTGGAGGGTGCTAGGTGGATGATGTAGGAAGAAAAATAAGGGTCTCATGAGTGAAGCTGTTAAAAGCATCCTCTTCCTATGCAGGCAGGAGCTTTCTGCCCACACTCCCCTGCCTCACACACAGGGCAGTCCCCTAGCATCTTTCCCAAGCCTACAACTTCCCTTTCCCACACAGGGGCTGTGGCTGTCCCCAGAAGCCCCCAAAATATTCTCTCCTCCCAACAAATGCACTGTTTTATTCAAAAGAACCACAACATGGAAAAATTTGAAGGTCCCAGTCTCTGTCACTGCCCCAAGGCAATGCCAAATGGCACACTTGAGCATCACCTTTCAGCGCTGCTCTATCCCACTGGTGCTCAACCCAGGGATGCCTGCTGGCTGTGTAGGAGCTGCAGGCCAGCCAAGTCCTCTCTGGCTCCAGTGGTCATGATGTTGCCAAAAATAACTTATTCCCTTGTTGCTTTGTTATAGAAAATATATATGCAGTGAAACATTAATACAATGGCCATTACATAGAAAAGTGCCGTGCTGCTCTGTTTTTTGCTTTTATACCTTACAGGATGAGCAGTCAGGCATGCTTGATGCTTGAGTCACTGACCTCAGTGTAACTGCTCTAAGGTAGGCCTATCTAACTGGTGGCCTGTGGGCAGCATCCAACCTGTGAAGGGTTAAAGTATGTCCCATGAACTCATACCCTGAAACCATTCCCCCTATGACTTCTGCTGCTATGGCAGTGGCCCAAGCCTCTGGAGCAAGACAGCGTGGCAGGAAGGGGCCCAGGAAGTCCACTGCTTATGTAGTAGTGACAAGGCAGTGGGGTGGGGCCATGCCATTTGCATAGTGGCATGGGGGGGCATGCTCATCTGCACATTGGCAGCAGTGGGAAAGCTTGTGCTGCTTGCTTAGCAGCAGCAGTGGAACTGGGTGGTTGACCACACAATAATGGCAGTAAGTGGGTTCATGCAGTGGTGGGTGAGGATGAGCTCAGACTGCTCCCATGTGGGAGAGAGGGGTGCTCATTTTACTCGTACAGCTAGGTGGCTGTGCATGGCAGGGGTCCCTGGAGCCCACAGGGTGTGTGGCCCCCATGG